ATGTGCGTTGTCCTGGGCCATTAGATTCATTCCATATAGAATGACTCGTGGTTTCTTCGATTTATAATAATAAAATAAAATACTTTATTAATAGCCGTAGCTAGCAAAAAAAAAATCAAGAAATATTTCATTTCATTTTATGCTATAATTATTAACTAAAATTTAAGATTTAATTCTAGTTTTAAATTCAATAATGGTATTTGAGCATTTTATTTCCTTAGGTATATTAACTCGACCAAACCTCTATGAAACAAACTATATTGTGCAAAAAAGGAGGATACATTTGAGAAAGAAGAAAGATTGGCAAGTTTCGCCCACTTTTTCCAAGTTATTATCAATTTTTCGCCAAAAGAAATAAGATCCAGCGATAGATTTCATCTTCACGATAAATGACTTAAATGTAATTCGTTTTATTAGTTGTTTTCTTCGACCACTGAACACTCTCTCTCTTCCTAGACTGAGGAAAACCACCTATTTGAAATATAATTTTTTCAAATCTTAAATTTTTAAAAAGTTTACTATACAAAAGCAAATGGTAAATGTTGCAACCATGTATGCGCTGTGAAGTTTATGGGAACAAGGACGTGCCACAAAAAGGGTACCGAAGGGTAGAAAGAATAAGAGACCAGGGAAGAATAGCTTGTCCGTCATTGTTCATATTATTCAATTTTTATTTTATATTAAACTGATTGTTAAATCAAGTTTGTGTCTTGTGATTAGTTTGTGTCATAAAGTCGTCGATTTTTGATTCGAGGGGGAAGTATTTTTCAGTTTTTTTCATCCCCGTAGCTTCAACCCCCTAGCTAGGAGGAGAAGAACCCCCCGAACTTGAATAGGGGATAGGGGTCGTGTTATATCTCTTTTTTAAGGTCTTATGGAGTTCTTTATGACCCTAGAATTTCATTTCATTATTTTCATCCGTAACGAAATGACAGCTTGTCAAAATCTTGGAAATAGACTATTATTTTAGTAGGAGTAAAAGCGATACTTACCTCCCTTAATAAAAATAATTGAAATTGATGTTTTTTATTATTATTATTGATGAGGTGTACACGAGAATTGTAAATTGTAGGTATTTTTACTCGTATTTTCATTAGGGGACGTAACCCAACAAACACAGTACGTACTGAAGACGTACATTTTAGGTCCGTTTTACGTCGGTTCGTCGGGGATGTAAAAATACGTTTTGAGTACGTACGTAAAAGGCTGAATTGATATACCTACAGACAAAAAAGTACGTACTAAGAAAGTACGTGAAAATCTATATTGTGTACGTCTTGTAAAAGACGTACATGTTCCTTTCAAAGACGAACAATACAGGACGAGCTGGATCATTCCCATCTATTCATGATTTTTTTATTAATTGCTGACTCGATTTCTGATAATAATATATTTTTTAATAATATGCAATTTCCAAGGAAAAGATACGAAAGTGATCCTTCCAAATTAATCTCTAAACCCTAAACCCAAAAATGCCGGTCAGGTTGACATGGAAAATTCTTATTACTTATTAAACCTTAGATTTAAACTTAAATAAGGCAGGTCATATAATCAAGGATTTATATTTCATCTAGGTACCTGACCTGTGACCCTAATAAATTGTCAAATGTTGAAATAAACGTGAAATAAACCAATAGAATGGAAAACAGGAAAGGACGCCGGCCACTGGCATCGGCAGGGTGCAGTGTTGCCAATGACCCGATAATTATCGAAATCTATAATTTTGACTACGACTCAATAATCGATAATCACAAGCTAAATCTACTATAATTTATTGAAACTACAATTTCAATGCATATTTTTAAAATTTTTAGTTGAAAATTAAAAATTTATTTGGTTGGTGGTTTTGACGTTTCCCAACTAGAAATGGATTGAGCTGGCAACACCGTTTGCCTCCTTTGAGACAAGCGTCTGCGGATCACACGGAGGCAACGCCACGAATATGATCGAAAGTGTACGAACGAAACTTTTAAAATTTGGCGCGACGCGACAAACGGAGGTTCACTAGCATTTTTGTTTACCGCCTCTTTATTTATTTGACACAAAATTATTAATTATAATTCGATAGTTTGTCTTATTATCATTATCAATGACATGAGAGGGAGTTTTCGAGCAATTATCACCTAAAAAAACACATGGAGAGCACAATTCACAACAAAAATACATTTACAAAAATAATGAAGTCCATAAGATGCCAATTAAACTGTAATTTTATTACCGACAGCAAAGACATTATTGTTTTACATATTACAAAAACTTTCACGGAAACAACTTGGACCCCAAGAATTTAACATTTAATAATAAGGAAGACTTTTTTGAGTGGAAAAGAAAATTAGAGCAAAAGATACCATCAGAGCACAGTTTATAAAATGAACTGTTTAAACTGTTGAAAGGAAAAATGGTACAATAATTATTTATTTTATTTATCATCAAGATGGAAATTTACATAAACGCATTAAATTTACATTATGTAGGTACCTATTACGCTAACATAAACAGGCTTTATTGAGTATTGACTTATTATTTAATAGCCTCGCTCGCAAGCTCGCTCGGTCATAAAATTATTCGTACAATAAGCCTTTCTTTATTGTAGGTACCTACTTGTTATTTAATGCTATTTATATAAATAGCTATTATTTAACAATCTAGATTAAACACTGTGTCTTTCAAAATCTTACAGAAACAGCTTAATTGTGATACAGCCTACAAATCAACTGTGGAGGGCGAAGGGCCATGTATCATTGGATTGTTCCACCTGACTTATCAATTATTTTTTTGTACCCGGGTTCTGGCTTGGGCTTGATACCCCATCCCAAAAAAATTAATTCTCATCAGTCTTTCTAAAATTTTTAGTTAAATATTATCGATAATAATCGATATTTTACGAAATGGAAATTGCAAAATATAACAATAAATATTCATCAGGATTCAGGACAAGGAGGTGGAGGCGTCAATAAACAAGGAGCAAAAACGTAATGAACGCTGTATTCGTGGCGTTGCCCCCGTGTGATCCGCAGACGCTTGTTCCTTTGAGTTGAGGCTGTGCTGTGGTTGTTCCTGTCTGATTTTGCCTTTTTGGTCTTGTATGTGTAGCGTGTAGCTCGTTTGCAGTGAGGTGTGAGGTCGTTGTTTTCTTCTATTTTTTTTTTTTTTACCAAGTAAAGTGACGCGGGAACCATTTTGTTTTGATTGCAGTAACGCCAGCAACGTGTTTAGCTTTGTTTTTTGTGTATACTAATGATACTTTTACCAAGATTTTTACTGTGTCAAACTTTTCTTGATTTGTGCCCGTTTACAATTCTCTCAATGTTTGTAGGTTATACCTACCTATTTTTTTTATATTTACTGTTGTTTAAGGTTAAGGTTAAGTTTAAGGTTATGTTATATTTTATAATTGATCTTATGTTATTTATATTTTTTAGTTTTTTAATGTAATTGTTAAGATATTTTTTGTATAAAAATTGCCACTTTAAAATGCAATATGTATATCCTGTTCACAATCCGATGTCCACAGATTTATCACCTTTCCCTATCAAATAGCATTGAAATGTGATTTTACCTGTACCTACCTGTGGACATCGGATTTTGAAGGGATAATTGTTTTACTTTTTGCTATAAACATACATATAAATACATATGTGTGATGTTTATGTTTGCCATATATTTTTGCAACCCATCTGAACAGGTTAACTGAATAGGTACCTATCAAAAAGGTGTAAATATAACATTTGTATTTACATCTTTTTGATACCTACCTATCCAATCAACCAGTGCCGGTGGGGTGTAAAAATATATGGGAAAACCCTGTACCTACGTCCCAAACACATTCCTAAAAAGCTATACTAAATACGTACGTTAATGTACGTCCCAAATACGTACCTAAAAAGCCGTACTGAGTACGTACCTAAATGTACGTGCGTGGCACGCACTATTTTGTGGAAAACGACCGTCATAAAGACGTCCCTCGTACCCTCGTACGTCGGCGGGACCTAAAAAGTACGTCCGCGGATGTACTTTCGTCCGAAAAAGTACGAATTATGGACGTACTAAAGACGTACTTGTGTTTGTTGGGAAGTACCGCTTTTACTCCTACTAAAACAATAGTCTATTTCTAAGATTTTGACAAGCTGTCATTTTGTTACGGATGAAAATAATAAGACGAAATTCCAAGGCCATAAAGAACTCGACGAGACCTTTAAAAAGAGGTATGACACGACCCCTATCCCCTATTCAAATTCGGAGGGTTGCTCTCCCCCTAGCTAGGGGGTTGAAGCTACGGGGATGAAACAAACGGAAAAATAGTTCCCCCTCAAATCAAACATCGACGTATCCCAGCGTTTTTCCAGATTCTCATCCCAAATCCAATAAATCGGGGTGGACTGTTTTCCCTGGGATATGTATGTAATTGGAGTGAAACTGTTGATATATGCCTTTGAAGATATTTTAAATATTTTATCCAACACATGACAGTTATGACTATTATTATTAATGTCATTTTAGACGAGTAAACTATCAAATAACACACTAGTGTGTTATTTTCCATAACTCACTAGTGAGTTATGGATTATAACTCACGTTCATATTTAAAGTAGTATTCTATTTATTTATTACTATTACAAGCAGAATTCACATTGATATTGAAATTAAAGGAAACGATAACGGTTTATTCGAATTTGAAGTCATTGTAAAATTCATTGGTTCATCGGAACCAGACGCTCCCATATCGGTAGAGCTGCTGATAGTGCTGGAACACGCCGACGCATAGAATCTTGTATTTTTTTTTTGTATTATCTCATAAAAAAACGATTTCTCCTACTTGTTGGATAAAACATTGTATGTCACTCGTGCGTTATGTTTCCTAAGTCACTTGAGAATTTATACCACTCGGCCTGACGGCCTCGTGGTATAAATCTTTCTCGCGTGACTTATTTTCAACATAACACACTAGTACCATAAATAACTATAAATAAATAATATGTTAAGCTCCTATATAAACTTACCCATGGTGACATGACGTGAGTGTCAGCATTCCGGTGGTGATAATTTAAAATAAGAATAGTTGACACCACAGATGAAGCAACCATAAACATAATGCAGTTGAAATAGGTTCCTAGAAGTGGTACAGCCTCGGATGTAGCTGGCATCGTTTCAGCTACCATATTCAAAAATACTGTCAGTGACAGCAAAATGGTGACTCCTAGCGACAACTTCTCTCCCGAGTCCGGAGGCAGCGTAAACCCCAAAACGGCCATGGATGCTATCAGGACGCACGGCACGATGAGATTAAAAAAGTAATATAGAGTCCGCCTTCGGATTATTATGACGAATGTAATATCGATGTAAGGCTCCGGGCAACAGTTGTAATAGAGTTCGTTCCTTTTTCCTGGGACGCCTGCAGAAAACAGAAAATAATTTATTAGTTCTTGTTTTGAAATGACTTATGAAAATTTCGCGGTCGGGTGAAGTTAAGGTTGATAAATGACTCTCGAATTGAAATCAGTTCGCTACCGGTGACACTTTGAAAACAACTGTCCTAATTTATATATCACCCTTTTGCCAAAACCACGATAGTGTTATTTAAATTTTCTATGAAAACTTGGTTCTTATTTAATATTTCGCTCAACTGAAGCTTTTATAGGTTAATTGAATAACATACACATTTGCAATTAAAAAAAAAAATACTTCGATTGTATTAGTTAGCATTTATTAAAAAAAAAAAAAAAAATAATTTTTATGGCGCAGAACCACCAAATCCTTCAAAAATCAAATATGTATAGTAACCTGGACATGGACAGCAATAACAGTAGCAGACCATAACGGCAATGTAGTGCCATGTGAGCTAAAGAGATACAACATCGATATCGCTGCTCTTAGTGGAACAAGACGGCCAACGGAAGATGCCGGCTGGAGGTAACGAAAAATTTGAATGAGCTCTAAATGCACCGGGAACGCTTTGCTATATCTTTATGAGCTTTCTTCCGAATCAAACTTGCATACTACCAAACAGCCAATAGATAGTCCCGAGAAACGTACCTCGAGCAGACAAAGATATTCTGTTAAGAGATTTCAATACCCAAGTCGGCAGAGACTCCGCCCTCTGGACATGCAACTTTTACAAAGAAGGCTCAAGCAATGATAGCTCACATAGCTATCTATAGCGTAGGTGAAATATTGAGCGGTTTTAAGATAAAGGCACCAAGACAAATCGAATGATAAAATTAAAATATGAATATCCCGACAATTAATATTGAACAGCATTGGCGAATGCTAAAAATTCCATCGATTTTAAGCACTTGTGCTTTGTAACAAGGAAACATCAGGATAGGGAATCCAGAATTTCATAGATAGGATTAGGGAGAGGGTCGCCTACAATATCGGTATAGCAAAAAGATCCAAATTAACATCAAAAGACAAAGAACAAGTACGAGAAGGAGTACAAAGAACAAGAATGCTGAAAAACGGTTGTTGGACCAGAAAGTCAACCGAATTGGAACATTTAGCTTCCACTAACAACACCGGAGCCGGGACAGAAGGTTCATTACCACTAAGATCTTGAGATGGGATTCAGATACTCGACTAGGCTTCTCTATCAGCTAGAGCAGATGTACGAAGAATTTCGAGAAACTCCCAAACATAGATGATCACGCAAAATTATCACTGCTGATCAAAAGGTTGAACAAAAAATAGACGGTCTGAAAAATAGATCTGAGAAGAGCCAAGTCCAACAACGTTACTGGCCTCAGCCATGATTTAAATACATTAAATTATATTGATTGTTACGATGCATGTAATCTTCCCGAATATGGTTTGAGGTTTGGTAAGATAAAATCCTTGTCTTATCCTCATGAAACTTTTTAGACTTGTTTGCTCTTCAACCAATAGATATAGACAAATTTATTTTAGGTGTTTTGGAAGAAATAAGGCCGAGTTGAATGTTGATCATCATCGTCATCATAGACGATCACTCGATACCGGTACTTGGTTGACCGGTTTTCGGTTAACCGATTTGATGAACCGGTTTCTTTTACGTTAACCTCGTTCTTGGCTCAAGCCGAAAACCGGTTATCGGTTAACCGCGGTTTAGACGAACCAAAAACCGATTATTCGATTAATCTATTTTTGATTGATAGGTTTTCGGATAACCGAACTCTATAACAAGCGTTCGTTTTGGCTGGTGCTGTCCTCGTCGAGCAATATCGTCGAGCATTGCTGTTCGATGCGTTTTGGAGTTCCTGACGAGTTATTGTGAGGGAAACTTCGCGGATGTTCCACATTCAATTCCTTACGATTTCTTAACTTAATAGCTATTTTTATTGTTTTCCTGACTACCTTGTTGCTCTAATAATTTTTTGAATTTTTGATCAGTTTACTTTCTTCTTATCTGTTTGAATTTGGGAAGGCTCTAATGCCTCTGGTAGGTAATACTGTGATGTATTACGAATTTTCTACACGTAGATTACTGTATAACAAAAGACCTAGAGAGCTATATCTCTAAGATCCAAATTATGGACCAACTGGTAAGTGTCTAGTTGTTACCTAGCTGGTACTTTCTATAATCTAGAGCATAAAAAGTAACCGCTAGGTAACAACCAGACGTTTACCAGTCAGTCCACAATTTGGCCCTAAAGTAGATAATACTATGATGTAGTACGAAGTTACTACTCATAGATAACTGTATCAATTTTGAAATATGTTGTCTGTTAGGGTACTTTTTGCCGAATTTTCTCTGCAGATTTTGTCTTTACCTTTTTTTTAAAAAATACAGTTCACTTTTTCTTTCTTGACAGGCTGAGGGGTATTGGGTGCTGCCGGACCAAGGTTCTGACGTTGCTCTTGGTAACGGTGTTCCTCCGTTATCATGAGCAACAGACGGAATGGAAGGGTGGGCGTCGGGGGGCTTCTGCCTAACTGGTATTTCTAGTGGCACGTGTTACGTCACCTTCACAACATGGATGTCAAACGTTGGGTAGTTGCTACTGCGTTCCAGCTGAGCTTCATTCCGCCTTTTAGGTCCCTGGGTCGACAGCAGTAATACCTTTCGGCGCACCCTAATTAATTTTCATTTCTCGAATTGTACGGTGCCTGTGAGCATCCTTCAGCTTGGAGTGCGCTATAGCTCACTCCCCTTGGTATTCTTTTGCAAGGCGGGTTAATTCGTCGTCTTGCATACGAAAAGGCGTATCTCAAAAAATCGAGTTTTTTTGATATGCCCTTTTAATTATGTCTTTAGTCGATATTTTGTTGCTTTTTTTTCTGACTGAAAAAACCCTATAACAGCAATGCAAACCTTATTGTATTTGTGTGGCGGAAGTTTTGATCGTATCAAAAATTTTAAACCGCTCTCCTGTGAAATTAGGATTTTTTAGATACGCCCTTTCGCATGCAAGACGAAGAATTGAGTATCATTGGGTTACATATATTTTTTTAAATTCTTCCTATTTTCGTGTTCGTCTACCTGCCACTTGGTGGTTTTTGGTTTAGCATTCTGGAGTTGCTCTCTGGATACTCCATGAGTAAGGCAAGCATACGAGATTCCCCACACTTAATTGGCTGCAATGCAATACTTGCTGGACTCAATAACAACCTATTTGGAGATGCTGCTCTGGATTTCTGTTCCGAGAACCATCAAGTTATGTTTGTAGTTTTTTTTTTTTTTTTTTCATTTTCATATTTCTCTATTATGTTTATCCTGCTTTCGGCAAATAAATGTATTTCTGTCTTTCTCTAACTTTTAATTCTGAAATAATTATTTTTAACTTGATGACATAATTGAATGGTGGTTTTCTGTTTCTAACATAACCTCAATTTAAATTATTATAATTTGTAAACAATTAAAATAATTCTAGTGTGTTTTTATCTATTCCCATTCAATCAACGTGGTGTTGCATTAATAAAATGAACACGGTATTTGTGTGGGTTTGAGTGAAGTCTTCTGATTGGTTCAATGGTTACTACGCAGTTAAGTATAAAAAAAAAAAACAAGACTGGTTTTCTTCAGGGATTTTGGTTCTAAAATTTTTCTTTTGCAGACCATTGATCAGGCAAGTCGATTTTCACTTGGTAATATTTTTTTCTCCTCTTTAGATTTCTAGATTTTCTCGTAATATTTTTCGTTTTATTTCACCATCAGTGTCTACTATCACTGTTGGGTTTTTATTACGTGATAGATCTTATCTTATCTACCTTCAAAATTTAAAATATAAATATTATATTTTAATTTCCTTCATCTATTGTGAACTTCCATTTTGTTTAGTACCACATTTTTCTGAGGAGAGTCAATTCAGAGTTTTGGATAATAAATAGGTATTACTTCTTTGGTATTTAGATTCAACTGTTGGTATGGGATTATTATATAATTTTCTCTAAATAGAGTAGCTGTGAACCGAATTTGTGTATCCATCCCTACCAACTCTTTACTGAATCCAGGCAGAAACCTATCTGGCTAATTATTGTTTGACTCCCTCATTATCTTCTCGAGTAAGGAAATTTATTTATTTGGGGGAAATCTAGAAAATTATTTTTTTATCTTGTTCAATTTTTCCTACATTTTTTTTTTTTAATTTTTGCCTGTTCAGCGCGACTGCACGAGAAGCAGCGCATTTTGCTCAATGTTAACGAGCATCTATTTCTGATCTTGCTGTACTTACTTAATTATTGCTACTTTATTTTTCATATTTTATTTTATTTTTTTTGAAATATTTGATTGTTTTTTTTTATAAAAATATTTCTCCAATTTGCAATAGTGGCTCATACCTAATTTTGTTGGAAAGGAGTGTCTGCACAACAATAGTTTTATTATAAACTAATTTCATATTATTTTTTTTTCCCCTTGCAAGATACTCGCTTTTTAACAGAATTCAGGAATTCAATATTTTAAAATTTGGTGAACCTGATACTGTAAATTCTTTTCTGGGTACCTATTCCTCAAGATCATCATTTGGAATCTGGATCAGCTGGAGTGACGTCACACCAGCAATCCATCCTCGTTCCTGAATATAGAAAATAACGTGAAGAGCTCCGGATTGGAAAAGGTACATACCAAGGGTCTTTAATTTCTATTATTTTCTATATATATTATTTTGTTGGTCCAATTATGCTCGTATGAGCGAAATGGGGATACTTGAATTCGGCCACAAACTAGGTAACCCAACCTACTTCCCATAAAACTTACCTTATGATGTTGACAGATTTCGCATTGCATATGAGTTAATAAATCTATATATGTATATGTGTAAATATGTATTTTGATGCGCAAAATAAAAAGATCTACCAAAATGTATATGGAAAGATTCACAGGCATTTGTTTTCTTATCCAGGTCTATCGAGGCATGTGCCATGTGTCGATGAGATAATCTGAAAATTTAACTAGAACTTCGTGATTCGGCTGAATAG